CCATATGGGGTACCAGGACTTGAACCCAGGTCAGCCGCACGTGGGGTGAGCAGGCTATATGCTGTATTATCTATCTGGCCTCTCTGTCTTCCAAAAATTTTGGTGCTGTTGTTCTCCCTTTTCTCTCAGGGTCTTCATCACACTACTGTAATTTTAGTGAATTTGGAGAGAAAAATAGAAGTAGTCAACTTACATTTATTTATTTATTTTTGCTTTTTGGGTCACACCCGGTGATGCACAGGGGTTACTCCTGGCTCTTTATTCAGGAATTACTCCTGGTGGTGCTCGGGGGACCATATGGGAGGCTGGGAATCGAACCCGGGTTGGCCGCATGCAAGGCAAACGCCCTACCCGCTGTGCTATTGCTCTAGCCCCTCAACTTACATTTAAACCCAAACCAAATCTTTTTAACAAATCCCAAACATCTCAAGATTGCATCCTGAATGCTTGTAAATGGTATGTTTCGATACATGTGATTGAATTTACTAACTAGACGATAAGAGATTAATTTCTTGACTGTGGTTTCCTGAATAAATGAATGAAAGGAGTAGATTTGTGCCCCAGATGAGGCAAAACATCCGTGCCTGGTTTTAGGTCTGATGCTAAACCATCTTGGCTAAATTGAGCACGCTATTATTTAATTGTTCTCATTTTCATAAAAGCCCAGTGATGATTCATTCAGTTAATCCCAGCCAATCTACCAAATAACTCAAATGGGCACACACGTAAAACCCCTTTCCCTCTGGCTGAAAGCATTAATGGTCCAACACAGTACCAAGAAAAGAGGTTGGCTCCTAGTATGGTTTTCGGTACGTGGGGAAAAACCAGGAGGATGTTGACGGCCTAACTCAGTATTCTACAAAGGAAGATAAGGTCAAGGAGCCAGGCAGAACACAGCATCATCTAGACCCTTAGATGCTAATTACTCTCTACCCCACTCGAGATACTGATGCTACTGCTTGGATTTATTCTCTGTTCTTTTTTCGGTCAAGACGGAAGCTGAGAGCCAGAGGGTGGCCAGAGGGCACATAATCATCGCCAGAGGAGAGCCCGGGTGGAAAAGTGTGCACAGCAGCTGGGGCCTCGCTCTGATGCTTCTAGCTCTCCTTAGAGGTTTCTTGTTGTTTTAATAGGCTGTTATTCTCCTACGCTATCATATAGAAGATATTAAGAAAGGGTTTGAAAGGCCTCTTTGCAATTCCCTGTGAAGAACAAAGAAGGAATTAAAGATTTTTTTATCATGGGAATTTTCAAGCATTTCTAAGAGTGAAATAAAGCCCCGTGTACCCACTGCCAGTTGGGGGGCTGCTGGGGTTTGGACATAGGCTCCACACACTGTCCCAGACCCCTGGTACCCAGCTGATGTACTCCAGACCTCTGGTACCACTGGTACCAGAGGATCAACATTTTACCATTGCTGTTGTGAAATCTATTCTTTGTTGTTGTTGTTGTTATATTTATTTATTGACCTCTGCCCCTCTCGGAGAGCCCAGCAAGCTACTGAGAGTATCTCGCCAGCACGGCAGAGCCTGGCAAGCTCCCCGTGACGTATTCGATATGCCAAACACAGTAACAACAAGTCTTAAAAAAATGGAGACGTAACTGGGCCCGCTCGAGCAAATTGATGATCAATGGGAGGACAGTGTTTGTTTGTTTGCTTTTTGTTATTTATAGAGTCACTGTGGGAAAAGTTAAAAAGCTTTCAGGTTTAAGTCTTGGTCATATAATGATCAAACAACTTTCCCTTCACCAGTACTCATTTTTCACCAAGAACCCCAATATACCCCCCAACCCTCCTAATGCCTGTGAGGCAGATGACTGAAATCTATTTTTGTCTCCCTCCCCAACATCAACCTTATTTCTATTCTAAAATTTATTTGATATAGAGTAAATTATAAGTCAACTTTAGACCATGCTAATTCCACTCATCAACATTTCTGAACAACCACTCATCATCAGGACTGTTTTAAATTTTTTCTTTCTCCTTTTCATAAAATGGCAATGCCATTATTATTATAACCCAAGATAATGAACCATTCTATCATATCACTCAGTACCCCAAAGATTCCAATTTTCCATTTTATCTGAAAAAAAAAGATGTCTTTTAATAGAAGATATGTTTGAATCAGTATCAAATAAGGCCCACTTAAGGCTTTTGATTCCTTAATCGCCAAAGTCTTCTAAAAAATTGTGTCAATGTTGATTTGTGTGTGTGTGTGTGTGTGTGTGTATGTATGTGTATGTGTGTGTGGCCACACCTGGCAGTGCTCAGAGGTTACTCCTTAATGTGTCAAGGTCACGGTCCTCCCGTTGTTCATAGATTTGCTCGAGTGGGCCCAGTAACATCTCCATCGTGAGACTAGTTGCTACTGTGTTTGGCATATCGAATATGTCTCGGGTAGCTTGCCAGGCTCTGCCGTGCAGGCGAGATACTCTCGGTAGCTTGCCGGGCTCTCCAAGAGGGGCGGAGGAATCGAACTCGGGTTGGCCATATTGGCTGCGTGCAAGGCAAACACCCTACCGCTGTGCTATCGCTCCAGCCTTAATGTGTACTCAGGAATTACTGCTAGAGGTGCTCAGGTAACCATACTGGATGCTGCGGATTGAACCTGGGTCAAGTGTTTGCAAGACCAGCATCCTCCAGGCTGTATCGTCTCCCCGACTGTTCGTTTCTATCTTACATATAACTGTGTGCTTTAAACACTGAGGAAGCCATGAGAGTCTTGGCTGCAGTGTCAGCTTTTCAGTTTGGCATGCTTCCAAAGTTTGAAGTGCTTTTGAGGCATGCTTTCCTGGGTACACACTGAGGCAGTACTTCTAGAGTATAATTAGAATTAGTAATTTTTTTTTTTTTGCTTTTTGGGTCACACCCAGCGGTGCTCAGGGGTTATTCCTGCCTCATACACTCAGAAATTACTCCTGGCAGTGCTCGGGGGACCATATGGGATGCTGGGAATAGAACCCGGGTCGGCTGCATGCAAGGCAAACGCCCTCCCGGCTGTGCTATTGCTCCAGCCCCAGAATTGGTAATTTTTTAATGTGTGTGGACTATACCTGGTGCTGCCTAGGGGCGGGGGGTGGGGTTTGGGATGCTTCTGGGCATTGAACCCAAGGCCTAGGTACTCAAGCCCGTGAGCCGGAGCTCCAGTTACAGGCTCATTTGTTTGGTTTTTGGGTTTTTGGGTCACATCTGACAGTGTTTAGGGCCTACTTCTGGCAGGGTTCAGGGGACTGTATGTGGTTCTGAGGACCAATTGGGCTGACTGTGTGCTAAGTAGGTACTTCACCCACTATGATTCAATTTCTTCAGTCTAAAGAGTCATTTTTAATATAACTGCATTTGGCTTACTTACCACTGCAACGAATCACATTTTGGAGACATTTGTTTATTAGGTTTGTGCAGACTTAAAAACTCAGTTGCACTGAAAAATTATGAATTCATAATGCAGGACAATTAGGCTACAATTAGATATATGCACCCCACTGAGTTTGGCAATACACATATGCATGAGGGGTTATTTTAGAAATGCTTTGAAGCAATTCATTTCTAGTAGTAATACTGGAGAAAGAATCAATCTTCTGAGGATAGGATCTCTTGAGCAATAAATACAGATAAATGTTTGTCCTAACGTTTGATGGGCCAGAAAGTTAGTGCAGTGGCAGAGTGTTTGCCTTGTACCCAGCTGACCTGTGTCATCCCAGCATTGCACAGAACGTTCATGAGTAACTCCTGAGCACTACTGGGTGTGGCCCCAAAATGAAAAACCAAAACCAATACCAAAAACCAAGACCCTAATGCTTGAGGTCATTTTTCTTTCACCAGTTCTCTACTTTTGGGGGTATTCTGGCTGGGGTGCTCTGCAGTGATCAGAGAGTGGGGGGTTTATACAAGGGACTGAACATGAGAGTCCCACATGCAAAATTCTTCCCCCCCTTTTTACTGAAAAAAAAAAAAGTTACAAAGCTTTCATGTTTGAGTTTCAGTCATACGATGATCAAACACCCATCCCTTTGCCAATGCACATTCTCCATCATCAAAGTCCCCAGTATACCCTCCCTTCTATCCCTCTCCCCTGCCTCCATGGCAGACAATTTCCCCCATACTCTCTACTTTGGGGCATTATTGTTTGTAATGGGCTGGAGCGATAGCACAGCAGGTAGGGCGTTTGCCTTGCACGCAGCCAACATGGCCGACCCGAGTTCGATTCCTCCGCCCCTCTCGGAGAGCCCGGCAAGCTACTGAGAGTATCTTGCCCGCACGGCAAAGCCTGGCAAGCTCCCCATGATGTATTGGATGTGCCAAACACAGTAACAAGTCTCACAATGTTACTGGGCCCGCTCAAGCAAACTGTTTGTGATATAGATACCAAAAGGCATCATGTTTGGAAGTTTGGTCCTTTATCTACTTTCAGCACACATCTCCCATCCCGAACGATCCCTCCAACCATCATTAACTTAGTGATCCCATCTCTATCCCAGCTGCCTTCTCCCCCAACATGCAAAGTTCTTTAAGTCATTTTCCAGGTCCATGTTCTTTGTGTTTTAAAATATCTTCTTTAATTCTACAATCGTATTGAACTCTTTTTGTTGTTATTTGTTTTTGGGCCACATCTGGCAGTGCTCAGAGTTTACTCCTACTTCTACACTCTGGAATCAGTCCTGGCAGTTCTTGGGGAACCATATGGGATGCTGCGGATCAAACCCAGGTCAGCCACATGCAAGGCGAACACCCTTCTCTCTGTACCATCTCTCTGACCCCTGAACTTCTATCGTATGAGTGTCTATGCTATGTCCCAGACTCATTATAGACTGGGTCCCATTTGATTCTGAGATTAGCCCACAGGGGTAATAGTTCTATTGTGAATTCCACAGTTCAGGGGTGGGGTGAGTTTCTCCAGGTCACTCAACTTGAAAGGCCGTAAGTGAACTCTGAGGAGATCTGCCAGCGCGGGTCAAAATCAGTGCCAAAGGCGGTGCCCAGTACTAAGATGGGCTCTTACCTGCTCCGTGGAAGCCCCCGCAGACATACAGCTTTCCGTCCACTACCCCCGTGTTGGTAGAATTGGTTCGAAGGGAGAGCAGGGGGCTGGGCAGAGGTGGACCCTCTCTCCAGAAGTCTCCGTCGGGGTTGTAGATTTCCACTGCGTCCAGGCACTTCCGAACCTGCCCCTTGTCCCGACCGATGCAGCCAATTCCGCCTGCGAGAATAATGAGGTCCCGAAGTTAAGAGGGTCACTAACGAACAGTTCACGACCAGCAGCACCCACTATGCTGTGGCTTAGGTCATAGGGTGAGGGGCTTTTGACTTTGTCTTCCTTTCTCCTTTCTTCCCTTCCCTTCCTTCCTCCCTTTCTCCCTCCCTCCTCTCCTCTCTTTCCTCCTCTCCTCCTCTCCTCCTCTCCTCCCTCCCTCCCTTCCTTCCTCCCTCCCTCCCTCCCTCCCTCCCTTCCTTCCTTCCTTCCTTCCTCTCCCTCCTTCCTTCCTTCTCCTTCCCTCCTTCCTTCCTTCCCCTTCCTTCCTTCCTTCCTTCCTTCCTTCCTTCCTTCCTTCCTTCCTCTCCCTCCTTCCTTCCTTCTCCTTCCTTCCTTCCTTCCTTCCTTCCTTCCTTCCTTCCTCTCCCTCCTTCCTTCCTTCCTTCCTTCCTTCCTTCCTTCCTTCCTTCCTTCCTTCCTTCCTCTCCCTCCTTCCTTCCTTCCTCTCCCTCCTTCCTTCCTTCCCCTTCCTTCCTTCCTTCCTTCCTTCCTTCCTTCCTTCCTTCTTTCCTTCCTTCCTTCCTTCCATATTTGGGCCACACCAAGCAGGGCTCAGGGTTTACTCCTGGCTCTGTGCTCAGGGATCACTCAGTGGACATGTACAATGCCAGAGATCGAACCCTGGCTAGCTGCATGCAAAGCAAGCACCCTACCCATTGTACTATCCTTCTGGCTCCTTCTCTTTCTTTTCCTCTGCAGTGCTGGGAACTGAATCTGTATCTCACAGAGGCAAGGCACGGCCTCAACTGCGGGGCCACATCCCAGGCCATCTGTACTTTTCTTTCTTGTCTGCTACTGTTTCTAAGACAGTTTTGAAGCAATAGAGATGTCTACAATGGAAGCGGAGCCAAATTCAGAGTCATTTTTTATCGATGATGTTCTGTCTGCGCTAATCCACGAGGCTAATCACAGAGGCTGGAGTTATATAAACTCGTACTCATTCTCACTGCGAATGTCCCCGTCACACCAAGGATTTCAATTTTGGATGTGAGGAAATCTACTTTGAGAGAAGCTTGTCTGTGGATCATCAGCAACAATTTCATTCACTGGTGAGCTAACGACAGCCTTTTCCACTTCTCTTGGTTGCGAGCCTCTACTTTCTTCACTGGGTAAATCTTTCCCAATGAGAGACCGTTCTGTGGCTGAATTTCAGATTTGGGAGTCAGAGAGACAGTACTGCTAGTGGGGCACTTTGCTTTGCATGTGGCTGACCCAAGTTCAATCCCCTGAGCAACACCAAGCATGATCCCTGAGCACAGAGCCAAGAGTAAGTAAACGCTGAGCACAGCCAACGTGTCCCCCTAATTAAACAATAAATTTCAGATTTTTTTGCTGCTTTTTTTTGGGTCACATGCAGCTATGCTCAGGGGTTGCTCCTCACTCTGCACTCAGGAATTACTCCTGGCAGTGCTTGGGGGACCTTATGGGATGCTGGGGATTGAACCCGGTTCAGTCGCATGCAAGGCAAATGCCCTACCTGCTGTACTATCGTTCCGGTCCCAAATTTCAGATTTGGGGTCCAAGGAAGGCTTGAAATCCAAATGCCCAGTGCATTTTTTGATTATCTCTGGCACATTTTATTCACTGATAGTCACTGAGCACTGTTGTATGCGGGGTAACGACATGCTAAGTGATCAGGAGCTTGGGAAGATGAAGAAGGCGTTTCCTGCTGGTAAGAGATGAGTGGGGCAGAGAGGGTCAGGCTGCAGGATGTGATGGATAGCTTTAAAGAGATACAGATTGTACTGAGAGGCCTGGAAACTGCATTGGTGGTATAAATAGCACGTCCCTAATTAGGACTTTAAGTGTAACCCTCCCTGGGAAGTTAATGGAATAAGAATTTGTAGTCTACTAAGAAGAAATAGCTTGGCAGATGACATTTTCCCCTCTCCTCCCTCTCCATACCCCACTGACGGAAAGGCCTGGAAAATCACGGCTGTCTCTTGATTTGGGGAGAGGCTCCTGAGACCAAGGGGCTCTCCCTGGAAGGTGACCTACTCCTTGGTGGGAAGACCCCGCTTCTCGATGACCTGAGAGCAGACCCTCAAAGAGCTCTGATCTTCACCCCCACTCAGAAAGCCCCGAAGAAGCCCGCCTTGGGCAACAAAGCTCTCTCCTCCAGGGCTCCTGAATGGTGTTTGGTCACAGCTACAGCAACGACAAAAGTCAAACTAAGGGACCCGAGTGGCAGGAGGGCAGTGCAGGTAGGTTTGCCTTGCATGCAGCTGACCCTGGTCTCATCTCTGGCACCTCACTGGTCCACCTTGCTCCATCCGGAAGTGATCCCTGAGCTCAGAGCCAGGAGTAAGTCTTGAGCACCACTGGGTGTAGCCCCAAGAAACCAGAAAAATAAAATAACAAAAACAACAACAACAGAAAAAAACAAAACAAAAAAAACCGACGACAACAAATTAAGAAATGCTGTGATCTCAGGCTATCTATGAAATGTCTCATTTACTGAGAAATTAACTGCTTACACTATTATATGAAGTTTCTTTTCCTTCTGTTATTTTATTCCATTTCCGGCTAGTCAGCTGGTATTTGCATTATCCCCTGTTTTTCAGTATTTTGGTAGGGGGCAGTATTTCGGTCTGAGCCACTCAGCAGCACGCAAGGCTTCACGCTTGCTCAGAGATCACGCCTGGGAGATCAACTGTGGTGACAGGGACTGCATTCAAAGCGGGTGGTGCCTCAGTCCCTGTGTACTATCTCTCCGGCCCTGTTTTCCGTTTGATGAGTCAACCTTCAGCTCCGTGTGTGTGCTCCTTAGCACAGTGCCCGCCACACTGTACAACTGTAACGAACGAGGGACAAATGGGACTTGTCCTTTGCTTTCGGCAGGTACAGCTTCCATGAGCTCATGGGGGGAAAAGGCCATTTTTCACTGCACTGATATTCACAGCACCTGACACTCAGTTCTTAACGAATCTAAGAAAAGGGATGGGGCTGGAGTGATAGTACAGTGAGTAGGGTGTTTGTCTTGCATGTAGCCAGCCTGGGTTTGACTCCAACACCCCATATGGTCCCCCAAGCACTGCCAGGAGTAATTCCTGAGTGCAGAGCCAGGAGTAACCCCTGATTATCACCAGGTGTGACCACCCCCCTCCAAAAAAAAAAAAAAGGAAAAAGAGAGAAAAGAGACACAACAGCTGGTGTGTTTCTCACAGCTGGGGCCAAACGCCAGGCATCTAAGGTGATTTAGGAAGGAACTTTTGGGTTTCCTTTTTTGCTGATGGAGATGGTTTCCTGTCTCAGTGGAGATCTGTATGAATTCAGTATGAATCCAGGGACTGAGGGTATAAACTCTGGGCTCTCTGGCTGCTTTCTCTCTTATCTGCTGGGATAAATAATTTAGTCCATCTCAGTGCCAAGTCTGAGCTGCAGCGCTTCCCGGGAGGGCCACGCTGGTTGCAGTTAGCTGTACGGCTCGCCTGGCCCTGGGTCTTGTTCAATGTGCGGGCTTCTGACTGAGTTTAACCAAATGTGGAACTGCCTGTCTGTGGGACAAGATGGCTGTAGAGAAGAGGTCAGACCCAGGGTCGCCGATCTTGGTCACACTGTCTAACAGAAAGAGGGAGGTCATTGCACTGCAGGCTCCATGAGCCATGTTAGAAGTCTGTTTATCTGACAACCACTTTCGAAAGCCAGTAGTAAGTGGGTGCAAACAGGTTAAATCGGGAGACAGGCTGGAGCACGGGGAGCCAGCAACACCCCAAGTCTGCCCCATGAGTTTCACATAAAAACCCTGCCCAGCAGAATACGCATCAGGAAAAGGAGACGAATCTCTTGGTTTGGCGAATCACTAGAGCATTAGAGAAGCCATTTCATTTCTCTGTCAGAGTCTTTAAAGACGCTGTTCAGCGCTTAGACCACAGAGCTAACCTTATACATCTGTGCCCTCTCCGCTGGGTTGGCAGACAGGTCACCTGCTCTTTCCCAGGGAGATGTGGGCTTACTGGGCACCCTGGGTTTCCAGCCGCAAGCCCCTAAGCACGTTCCCTGACTCTCAGCTGCAATTCCACCACGAAGCCCCGGGGCGTCACCTCTCCCCTAAAACGGCGGACGTTAATGAGCATCAGTGGAAGGTGCCTCCTGATTAGATAAATAATCAAATCCAAGCGTGATCTTTATTAATAAGTCAGCACCAGCACACAGGAGAACTCTTTTGATGAGAGAGATCCTCCGGTCGGATCCGCGCATCTTCAGAATGCCAATGAGCCTCCTTCGTGGGGTTCGTGGCGACGCCTTCCGATGCTCCGAGCCTGACTTTCCTTGATTCAAAAATAGACACACAGAGAGAAGAAACCATCTTGGAGAAAAGGTCCTTCAGTGCAAAACTGATCCTTTGTTTTTTTTTGCGGTGCTGAGGGGAGGTAGATTGTCAAGGATAACTACGTGCTTCCCTCCCGCTGTTTTCATTTCTCCAGAGCATCAGACCTCTTTCTGTGTTTGGCTATTAAAGATTCTTTCCCTTTGGTGATGGGGTGAGGAAAACTCCCCCCACTTGAAGCCTGGCCCGGAGCTGGCTGAGGGCAGCAGGGCAGAGCCAGTTCTGAGGCCCAGCGGCCACAGTACCTTGGGTAAGACAGGGCTGGCCGGGAAGGACGTTGTACCCGCAGGGCTACCATCAGGTGGCCAAGTTTATTCTGTTCTCCTCTGGCCGAGACTCCAGAGCGGCGGGGCATTCTGGAACCATTTTTGACAAGCTCCCAGGGTGGCTTGCCTTGTTCCCGAAGCTTTCATCAAATATTTAAGGGGGCAGGCCGGCATGGGATGGGGGAATTGATCCAGACCCTGGGCATACAGCCACGTGGCAGCGTCGTAGCTGGACAGCTGGGGTCCCCCATTTCGCTAAGCCTCAATTTCCTCATCTGTAAGTTAAGGATAATAACGGTGATTTTAGCCATGGTTGCAAAGATCAGCTGATTCAGTGACTCTGCAAAGGA